TTAGGTGTTGGTTTCTGCAACTTTTTTAGACAAACTTCTTGTTTTTGAGCACCTGTAAGAGAGGCTCTGGTTCGTTTTATATAAGAAGCTTTCTCTTTACCTTTAGAAGTTTTTTGTCTTTTTTCTTGAGACATCTGAAATAAAATGATCAATTATCAAAAAAAAAATTCACACGATTGTTTAATTTATAACGTGAAACTTTCTATTAATGGAAATTTCGTTATATCCCTTACATTTTAACGTGAAATTTGTTAAAAAAAAATTCGTTACAGTCATTATAAAAATTCGTTATAAAATAAATTCGTTAATTAAAGATTCATTTATTAATAATTGTACAGATCTTCATTTTCGTTATACGCAATGGTAGGATTTACTATAAAAATTCGTTATTTTTAATTATTTTATTTAATAAAAAATTGGTACCACTCATGTGATTCGCAATGGCGTAAAATTCGGAATACAGAAATTCGTTATAGAGAACTTTGACTGTAGTAAAATTTTATAATTATTCAATAATATTTTATATGTAATATTTAGTACTTTGTATAGGTTAAATCTAGTGTTCTTCATGAGTCAAGTCGAGTCGAGTTTTGAATCAATTTTTTATATGATAAAATTTGTCCTACACTAATTTTTATAATACTTTAACTTTATTATTTATGTTATGCAAGTCTATGCAAGTCATTTTGAGTCGTATATGTGGGACACTAGTTAAATCAAATCTAAATGATCAATCTGATCTGAATTTTAAATACTATAAAGCACTGACTAAACTATTCTCCCTCCGTCCTTCTATGTAAACTACCCCCTTTATAATTTTGAGGTCAAAATTTTGTAAGAAATCTAGGTATTTTACATACAGTCAACTCTTGTTATAACAAACCCTAAATTCCAGACCTCAACTTTGCTATAGGGCTATAGTGAAGATTTTATGAGATTTGATTGGTTAATTCGTTATAGCAAGGGGAAATTTATTATAGTTGTCTGAAAAATTCACTATATCAAGGGTTCGCTATATCAAGGTTTAACTGTAGTTAATTTTTTTTTTATTGAAAAATAACTGATTTATTTATATTTATTAAACCTTTTATTTATTTATATATAAATGAATTTTTTATTAATTTGATTTATCTTTATAACTATTGAAATTCATTCCAGTTATTGTAATTATTTTCACTATTCGTTACAAAATACTTTTTATATCATATAAGCATATTGATTAATATAGTATAACTGTATAATATCAGTAAATTTTTTAAAAAGTAGATTTGCAAAAAAACTGTGAAATTTGCAGTTTTTTGCATTTTTTTTGCACTTTTTTTATGCATTTCTGTGAAATTCTACAAATTTGCAATTTTGCAGATAATAAATATTTTTTCATAAAAATCTGTAAAATTCTGCAATTACAGGTTTTCTGCAGATTTGTTAAAAAAAATTTATAGTAATCTGCAAAATAATCAAAAGTTAAATCATTATGTATTTGGTAGCAATAAAATTACATAACCTAAAAATCAGATAATGAATTAGTAATTTTGTAAATCTGATTAATGTTACATTTATTATATTTATTATATATATTACAATATATATATTATTTTTATTATTTTTATTATTATATTATTTTTTTTATTTATATTATTTTTTTTTATTTATATTATTTTTTTTATGGAGTTTGCTATTTATCACTGACAGTAATTATCACCGGTATCACGTGATTTTATAAAATTTGGCTGGAATTAAGGAATTGACATATAAATTTCCTTTTATGGAGTTTGAGTAATGTTATACGATCCAAAAAAGGCAAATTTGGTTCTCATCAAAAATGGAGAAATGCATTACACAAGATTCCAAAAAAGGATATTTATGTAGATTACTTAATTCCGGCCAAAATTTTAAAAATCATGTAACACTGGTGATAATCACCCGGTGATTTGTAGCAATGATAGTTAAAATAGTTTATCAATTTTTTATATATTACTTTTATTTTTATTATATCTTATTTAATAAATTTATAAATGCATTACAATTAAAAAAAAAATGTCAAAATATACAGTATATTTTTTCAAATTTTTAGTTTTATTTTATATTTATAAACATTATTGTATTTCTGTATTTCTTTAATTTTAATATTATTTTATATTTTATATTTAATTAAATATAAAAAGATATTAAAAAATTTTTAAAATATAAATTTATATTAATTTTACATTTTTTTTTTTTAATGTTAAACTATATACTACTTTATTATAATATATTTGGATTACATAATAATCACAAATATTCTATGAGTGATATTTTCAGCTCCATGCCAATCTGATCAAACATTAAATATTATATCACTAATAAAATTAAAAATAAAAATAAACAAAAAGCAAGCTAATATAACATACTATAAACTGGAAAAATAAAAAATAAAAACAAAAACAAAAACAAAAATAATAATAAAAATAAAATTAATAATAAAGTATATCTCTAAAATTATAAATAAAAATAAATATAACTGAGAATAGATAAAAATTTAAATTATTTATGAAATTATTAATCCAGTAATTTTTTGCTCATGTATAATGTAACCTTATTAATTTTCTTCTTTATTGGAATCCAATTCTTATATATATATTTCTTTACAAAGGTATTTATTGATTTTTTTACCAAAGAAATTAATTTTTATAATCGATCTACTTTTCTTGTTTGTAAATCTTTTACTTTATCTGAAAGTTGATTTAAATTGTCCTTTATTTTGGATTCTGAAGTAATTTTATCTGTTTAAAAAATATTTTTTCTTTTTTTTCATAAAATAATTTATTCACATCTTGGTTTTCATATTAATTTTTTAAATGCTAGAATAAATTGAATTAAAATATTGGCCATAAGTATCTGTATTTCAGCAAGAGATATCTTAAAATCATATTAATTTTACATTATTGATATAAATTTGCATATTATATAAAATATATAAAATATTAATATTTTAAAATCTAGCAATTGTTCAGAATTTTTAAAAGAAAACTTTATAAGGAAATCATTAAATTAGGGGAGTTATATATATTACATAATATTCAGTTTAATATAAACTTACTCTCCTCCTCCTTTTGTCAGATTTAATAACCAATCAAATTATAATATTTATAAATTATATATTTTATTAAGTGTAACGTAAGATTTTGGTTACCTCCTCCCCCCTTTGATAATTACGTAATATCTGTAAGCTCCCTTAGTTTTGATTTTTTTTTTTTTTTTTACAAATAGGATTTTCAATACTTTAAAAAATTTTTTTTTTCTTAAATTTTCTTTAGTTCTTTAGCTTATAAGGTACATTTTACTTTGTTAATAAGGTGAAGTAAAATGGGATTTATCAATGTATTGTATTGTTATTACATATCATCAATAAATAAAATAACCACTTCTGCCCTTTAAGAGTAATTCTAAAAAAAAATTTAGTAATTGAATATTGGAATTTTACTATTTAATTTAGTAAATTGCTAAAGTTTACCAGTGATAATGTTTACCATACCAGCATTATGATGTATTTTCAACTAGAATTAAAACTCCAATAAAATACTGGCTGGCATTATATTAAACAAATTGAATGGTACTAGTAAGATTATTTTATGTTCAATATTGGTAAAGTTATTATTTAATATATTTTTAAATATTTTAAATGCAGAATTAGTATTTATTATTATTCAAATATTTTAATAACTAATAATAAAAAGAGTTTTGCTAATTTGCCTTTTGAATTAAATAACCTGAATAATATTTTTTTTTTTAAAAAAAAAATCATTTGTGTTATTATTCATTTCACTTTTATATAGTTTTTATTTATTTGGATATAATAGAGTATAATGACCAATTTTTTATATATTTTTGCTCATTTTTTATTGTAATCATAATTTACATTTTTTTTTTTTTGAAAATTTGGGCAAAATTATAAAATTTACTAGTAGGTTAAATCACTCTGGTTAAAATTAGTCTTATACTAATAAAAATTATTAATTTAGTTTATTAGATTTCTTTTATAAAGTTTTTGTAATCATTATTAAAAGTAAGCAGAATCAGTTTAATTTACTAGTTGCTAAAATATTAATTCCTATAAATTTGATTACTTTTGTTTTTAAATAAAATGTTCAAATCTTAAATTAAAAATCTGTATAAACTTGAATAAGTATATATATTGAAATATTTTGTTATAATTGCAAGTGTAATTACCTCATAATTACTTTTTTATTTAAAATTTATGAGATTTGTTAAATAATTATGGTCTTTTTTTAAAATCAACAATTACTGATCCAATCTTTATTCTTCAAAAATTTGGCGTTTATTTATCCTGTCTGGTTAAATTTCCAAATTTTTACATTTTAGGCGTAAAATTCTCTTGTTTTTGATACTCTTAACTGGATTGTACGTGACTATTTGATTATTATGTAATTCAAAACCTTTTGATATTACGTAGTAATGTCTTCTTCAAGTTTGTTATCCGATAAAATGTTATCTAAAGTTTATCTTGTACTTTGCCTTTTGCCATATTCGATCAGAATTACGATTGGGCGTTAATTTGTATAACAATTAACAATACGAGGAAAATTGTTTCTGCGTGTAACTGTGTATCGTATAATTAATAATTCACTGAAATACATACACGTTTGAAAATTTTTTTTAGCGGATATTAAAAAAATGCGTAAACGCGGGGTTAATTAAATCAACATCCCTTTTATTGTTAGTCAGAATTTATTTAAAAAATTGCTAAGCAATTACATGTGATTCCAATATATCGTATTGTAAGTATTGTAATAAAATCTACATTAGCCCTTATATGTATTATGGTCATAAACGTCATTGATCTACGTAGTACCAAGCACTACCTGCATTCAGAAAAAATAACTTGTGAGATACGCATTTGTGAAATCACAAATATACAAATTAAGTAAGTGCAAAAAAGAATGATCATTTACAATTTATGATTACATTTTATGTGTAAATAAGCACAAGCTTTTATGTATAAACCTATCGAGGAAAGAATTTTTTTTTCCTTACAGTCAATTATTATTTACTACCAAATTTGAAAAACTTCTTCAGGTTTAAAAGGGAAGGGTAAGGTTTTTATTTTTGCTTTGCGTACGCGAAAAAGTCACTTGTGATTGTATTACAAGTGGAAAAAATTATTTAATAAACCTTCCTTCCCATACCCTTCTTTTACCCGATTTAGTTTTTTATAATTAATTAAAGAAAAATTTTTTGTTACTTTTTTTTTTAAAAAAAAAGAGATAACATTGATTGTACTGCAGTTCGTTTTTGTAATGACTTCAATAGAAGAAAACTCTATACTTAGCGCAAGTGAGAGAGCAGCAAACGAATTTTACAGCTGGGTTCGTCAAAACATCATTGCGTTTCTTCTATTTGTCTCCCTGTATTCGATATCTTATAGTTTATTACAACGATTTCGAAGGAAAAACAGAATTACAGACATAGAAGAAGAAGAGGATGATCCGTATGGCATAGATAGTTTAATAATTATCATATTGTGTGCGGGAGGATTGGCAATGGCATTAGCTGGATTTTTGTTATGGCCATTTACTATGATAGCAACAGCTTTGTTACATAACGAAATATTTTCAGGAAATTATTATTTGACTTGGTTGGATGTTGAATTATTGGTGACTTTATGGAATTACGCTTTTATAGGCTGTAATATTTCTTTATTTGCCTTATTACCTTTTGCTTTTTTTTATAGTGAAACCGATCAACTTCGAACCTTTTTTGCCAAGGCAAGGGAAACCTTAATAATTATGGGTTTGGTTGGAATGTTGATGTATGGTTTTATTTATACTTTGAAAATGCTTTTTGGAATATCAAATGTAGATGAATTAGAGATGTTGAATTTATTTACATGTATAGGAGGTGCATTGATATGTTTAAAAGCAACCCCAAGAGGTTATATTGAAATATTTTCATGTATTAGCAAGCTTCCTTTGCGACCAAATTATCGAAGATCTTTAAAGGAAAAGTTGAAACGAAATAAGATGGATATTACCGTATGGCAACAAAGATTGGAAAATTTAGAGCGTGGGTTGAGATCAATATATAGTGTTAATAATACATCACGTTCCGCTATATTAGTTCCTTCGACAGAATCGCAATATTCTTATTCATCTGAAAAGTTGTATGCATCTGGAATTGCTAATAATATCATAACCAATAGATCAGGGCACCTTTCAAATTCAAGAAATGAAATCATTGCAAAGATTAATAAGCTCGAAGAAGAAGAGAAGCGATTACAAAAAGATCTCTCGCATTCTCCACTTTATCGAAATATGTTATTTTTAGTTCTTTTCATAGTTAGTCACTTTATTTGGTTGCTAATACTTGGACATATCTTGTACGCTTTGATGAAGAGTCTATTGGTAGATGATGGAAAGGAATTAAAAAATTTGGAGGCGCTTATCGGCAAACAAACGGTATCATTATTTGGATTTGGTACATTAAATGAAATTACACTGATTTTTTGTTTTACCTCAGCAACAATTATTGGAGTTTATTCAATATCCCCATTTAAACGAATTAGACCTCGTTTAGGAAAAATGACGGTTCAACAAATTATAGCAAATGTTACGGTTTTATTGGTGATAAGCAGTTCGTGGCCTGTTTTAGTTAGAGTCTTGGGGTTAACAAGATTAAGTTCAGCTGGACCTTATGAGAATTTTAGTACAATGACTAATATAGGACAATATCTCGCTATGGCTTTTAGAGTTAGCGCTTTGATTACAACAGTATTCTCAACATTAGAATACTATGTATTGAGAATGATCAGAAATCCTTCTCATACTCCTATCGTAAATGGAACTTCACGTCAACCATATAATCATGCAAGATTTTATCAACCACCACGAGACAGAAATACAGATGAATTAAATTTGAATAGATACTTTTTTCATCATTCACCGCCAGATCATCATGGAATGAGACGATAGTACATAAAATGCATGGTATTTCAATATGGTTGCGGGTCAATTAGAATATATAAATGTTATAGGGTGGGATAAAACAATTCATAATATACATATATCAATCATCATTAATGAATCAATCACAAAAACAAACCATATATATATATATATAGGGATGGGGGTTAATTAACCACGGTTAATTAACCATGGTTAATTAACCGTTAATTTTGTTAGTTATGATTGATTTAAAATGGTTAATTAACCGTTATTTATAATTAGCCAATCAAAATGCAGAATTTAAATCATGTGATTAAATGATAATCCATTATTTTGTTACACAATTAAATATTAATTAATATAAATATTGATTAAATCTATGATCTACATATTGCATGATCTTTTTTTTAAGATAAATTTTTTTTAAAAAAACACTTTTTTTTTGCAAATTTATTGTTCATTATCATGGTAAAAAAAAAGGGAACTGTTTGGAAACATTGGACAATAATTACTGAAGCAGAAAGTAATGAAGAAAGTAGTAGGTCTAAGAAAAAAACACATCCTTCTGTACGTTGTAATTATTGTTCTAAAGTTTTTGAACAAGGTACAGCTAAAAGAATGCAAGTTCATCTTAATGATAGTTGTCCTAGAGCTCCAGAAAGTGCAAAAACAAAGAAACAACAAATTCCTGAACTATTAGAAACTTCTGATGCTACTACTTCTACTTTTATTCCTACAGTAAAAACATCAAAAAAGCATTTAAAAAATACAACAATTGAGAATTTTGTTGATCGTATGAGTGAAGAAGAACAAGATACTCTTGAAATTTTACTAGCTCAAGCATTATTTGCTGCTGGAGTTCCTTTTTCTTTTCTTGAAAATAATTATGTTATTCAGTTTTTTCAACAATTACGTCCAGCATTCAAATTACCTAATCGAAGAAAACTTGCTGATGAATTACTTGATGATGTTTTTGATGAAGTTAAAGCTGAATGTAATGAACAAATTTTACAAATTTTACAAGCTAAATCTCTTACAATGGTTTCAGATGGTTGGTCTAATATTAATCGAGAATCAGTTCAAAATTTTGTTATTTATACTCCAAAACCATTATTCTTTGATGCTATTTATTCTGGTGAAGAATCTCATACAGCTAAATGGGTAGTAATTTTAATGAAAATGAAGAAGATAGTAATAATAGTTCTGATAATGAAAATAAAGAAGATGATAATAATAATAGTTCTGATAATGATAGTATATTTGGATTTGAAGCAAATGTTATTAATTTAGAAGATGAAGAATAAATAAAATATATTAAAATTTTATAATATTTAATAAATTATAAATTTATTTTAACTTCCTTAAAATTATATATACAGGTTATTTATGGGTTAATTAACCGTTAACTAACCGTTAATTAACCGGTTAATTAACCAAATTCATAACTAACGGTTATTTTACCAACCCTAA